CCACACAACACGGAAAGGTGGGCCTGATGGCCTCCAAAGAGTAACACCATGCCTGACCCAGATGCACAAAAACACACCATGCCCCCCTTGGCCCTGAAGGCAACCATGGGGTGAGGCACTCTCCTTGCCTGGGACATGGTTGAACCCCTACACATGCAAGGGTATGTACTGTTTGCTCCCCTCCATTCCAATTTGTTCCCTATTTTCTGCTGTGACTATAACGGCAGACAAGCATTCATGCATTCATAAACAAGCATGCCCGGCCCTTCATGCATTCTGGATGCTTTCTGCCCCAGTAGTATCCCCCCTCAACCGTGGGATGGTTGCCACAGTTTATGGCCTACTTTAATAGTTTTTCAACATGTATGGTTCCGGGGTAGAAGGAGAGGGAGTAATTGAGGTTTTCTATCACACTTTACATACTGGGTGGGATGCCTGCCATGACCTCCATCTGTTAGATTAAGCTGAGGAATTGGAGAGAGACTAACATGGCAGTCTCGCTGAATGTTGTGCTCAAAGAGGGGCTAGCTGAGACATTCATGGTTCACGGTTGTTGTGGGGTGGTTTAAAATTGGACATTTCATTTATAGTCACTCCTCACCTGGTCATAAATGTAACAGTACTTACCCGGTCCTCGTGCTGGCCGGGGCCCTCCGATCGAGCCACACACGGCTCAAGCATTCCTGCCTCCAGGCGAGCCGTATGCAGCTCAAACACTCCTGGTTCCTGATCGGGTGCGCAGCCCGTACATTATTAAGAATGTTAAAGAAAAGAAAAAGTTATCTGCGCTCCTTAATCCCTATGTATATTTAGACAAATGGAGGTCATTTAGTTGCTCCAATGGCCATTGGAGGGAATGCCCACCTGCCAACATCAAGGCAGACCCCCCTAAAGCGGTTGCTACACTGACCCTTCAGCCTGCTTCCTTGAGCTTCTGGGAAAGATATCTCTAATGAGACAGAGAGGGGTATTTTTTATATATACCCCTATATACTTATTAACCCTTAATAGGGAACACATGGGATGGGTGAAAGGGTTAATCGACTTCTCTTTAACTCCCTCAGTTCTCGAATCTCCAATCACCACATCAATTGACGGGAGTTCTTGTTTAGCAAATAACGACAGACACGAAAGAGTGCTCTAACAAGTTCTCAAATAAGTGTATTTTCAGGGCTAGCATTTATACACAGTTTGTCACGCAAGCAGCAAGATTTATCGCTTCCTTATCGTTAATAGTATATACTTCTGTGGCAGTAGAAGATAAGCATCTGAATAAAGACAGAACAGGAACATCCTGAGGTCGAGCAAGGTCGCACATCCTCTAGAAGGAAGACCTTGGTACAAAATACATCTGCCAAAGTCAGCATAATTATTTCAAACATTATTTTAAAGCATATAAAGCAAAAAGAGTTTAACTATTTCATATCCTTACAGTCAGCACTAATGATTATAAACCTTATCTAAGCATAAAATACATATGAACAAGAAAAGTTAACTACTTCATATCCTTTCATTCCCCTCTTTGAGCAAAAACTTACTCATAT